ATAAAGATCATGATCTTGGTGATGCTGATAATACTGATAAATATCATGATAATAATATGATTATAATGATATTGTTCATAATGATAATGATGATGACAATGATAATAGGAATAATAATAATAGTAATAGTAATAATGATAATAATAATAATAATAATAATAATAATAATAATAATAATAATAATAATAATAATAATAATAATAATAATAATAATAATAATTATAATAGTAATAATTAGATGAAGAAGAAGAAGAAGGACAATAATAATATTAATAACAATAGCAATAATAGTAATAAATAATGATTATGATAATTTAGAACAAAAATAGCTACACTGATAACCAAAGTTTGATGGCGGCAGTGGTGATGACACGTAAGAATAACATCAATCATAGGGCGTTTATTATCTAAGGAAAGAAGAAAAAGTACTTCAATTCGTCTTTTTTATTCTTTACAGATGGTGCTTAATACTTACATTTACATAAATTTTGTATTTCTGAAACATATATGCCTTTTTTCTTTTTTTTCTTTTTTTTTTTTTTTGCCTCCAGCACCACTTTTATCATTTTTTTCCTCCAAAGAGACTCGGCGAATCAAAGTACTCTAGAGGGAGGGGTGAGTTGCCAGTTTTTCCTTTCCTGAGATTGGGCGGAGCCTAACATCTCCCTGACAAGACTTCCCTTTCGCTCCATCACAGGAATGCTCTGAATGCAATATAACCATCAGAAGAAAAGATCACGTAACACTCACTCCCGTTGTTTGTGCCTTTGATTCCTTCGTCAGTAAAGAGATCCTTTGCGATATCCTGTTTGTAAGGCGTCTGCGGGACGAAAGGCTGATCACCAGGGATAAGTATTCCCTGGTAATGGCTGCTCTTGATGAACACCTGCGATGAGAAAGCGTCCCAGAGGAACTGATATCCTCTCTCTCTCTCTCTCTCTCTCTCTATCAATCTATCTATCAATCTATTAGTTTTCTAGCATATATCTTATGTGGCTAACACGATAAGGGCATCCTTTTCAGAGAGCTCCGACAGGGTGAACCACAAACGTTCGCGATTTAGGAAAATATCTTTCAATCATTACCATGCTCACCTTTCAGCTGCAGGATTCCTTTCAACGCAAGGCCTTTCTCCCCCAGGTGTCGTGGATCCGGGTGGGAGACCTGCACATCCTGTCGGTCGGGAAGTACAAGTACAGCACGGACAGCCGCCTCTCCGTGGTCTTCAACGAGCCCGAGCAGGAGTGGGTGCTGCAGATCGCGGGCGTGACGGAGAGCGACGCGGGGATGTACGAGTGCCAGATCTCGACGAAGCCGGTCCTCAGCTTCATGGTCAGCATGGAGGTCGTAGGTGAGGCTCCTCGGGTCGATGTCCTGAGATCCAGTCTGCGTCTCTTAAATCTAAGGGGTTTCTGTTATTGTCTGGCTGTTCAGTTGATGTAGCATGTTTCCTGAGTTACCAAGTTCCTTCCTTTGCAGAAAGTCATTATTCTGTATCGTAAGACTTATTTACCAATATTCCTCCCTCTAGGTCCGCGAGGGCTTTCCCAGACCAGCATTCCGATTCCGGACGCATTCTAGAGAACATTTCGGGGGGGAAAGGTCCCCTGGCCTCGATCACTTTTTAAGAATTCCTTTTAAGATATTCCAAAACGGTTTACTTTACGGTCCCGGGGAAACTGATGGACCTTCTCCGGCTTTCATTGGTCTTGGCGGCAAGCCTCCCAAGAGATCACTTTGCACCGAAATGTGTATGTAAGACGGCCATGTACGTTTTTTCTCTTCTTGTGTGAGCGCGCACGGCAGACGAATATCGCCCTTCGATATACTAGCGTTTGCGTGATAACGGGGGTGTTGTGTGGAAGTGAGAGAGAGTTATATTTTGAGAGAGCAAGAGAGGGCAAGGGACAGCAAGAAAGAGAGAGAGAGAGAGAGAGAGAGAGAGAGAGAGAGAGAGAGAGAGAGAGAGAGAGAGAGAGAGAGAGAGAGAGAGAGAGAGAGAGAGAGAGAGAAGAGAGAGAGAGAGGGAGAGAGGGAGAGAGGGAGAAGAGAGGAGAGAGGGAGAGGGAGAGAGGAGAGGAGAGGGAGAGAGGAGAGGGAGAGAGAGAGCGAGAGAGGAGAGAGAGAGAGAGAGAGAGAGAGAGAGAGAGAGAGAGGAGAGAGAGAGAGAGAGAGAGAGAGAGAGAGAGAGAGAGAGAGAGAGAGAGAGAGAGAGAGAGAGAAAGAGAGAGAGAGAGAAGAGAGAGGACACCCGAGGGCAGCAAGTAGGGCTGAAACGCACACTCGCGAGGAAAATGCAAGGCCGCCGCCGCCGCAATGAATGGCCAGGGAAGAGATATTCCAAATTATATCGGCGTTTTCGATAATGTTTCGCTCATCTTTTTTGTATATTTGACTCCTTTTGCAATAAAGGCAAGACAAATGGCCGAGGCGAAGGGGTCGAGGAAAAGAATCGGGGAGAGACACGGAGGAATAAAGAAAGGAGCGGAAGGGGAAGGAGGAGATTTTTTTAAGAAATGGGGAGAGGGAAATGGAATATGATAAAAGAGAAGAACGCAAGAAAAGAAGAAAAGAAGCGGAATAAGTATAAGAGTGGTGGAAGGAAAGTAGAGAAAATGGCGTGAAAAAAGAAGATAAAACATCAAGATAAAAAAAAAAACACAAAACAAAAGAAAAAAAGATAAATAAATAAACAAAAAATAAAAGAAAAGAGCGAGAGGGAAAAAAAAATACGAAGACTGGAGGCAGAGGCCCAGATAATTACATCAGGAGGGGGGGGGGATCTTACATATGCCGTTCAATATCCGGCATTTGCCAGACACGTTTTTTTCAGTTAGAGGGGAAAAAAAGTCTGGGATTTTCCTTCGTAATGCGTGCATCTCTGAATGTCACTTTAACTGCAAATGTCTTGTTTGTGAACTTGGAAAAAAAGTAAAAAATGATTTAAAGCACAAAGAAGGTTGTAAAAGGACAAACGCATTTTGGTGGGCATTTCTACCAACATTTTTAAAAATCTTTTCTATGCCTTTGATATTGGCTGTGGCGATAATTCACGCCGTTTAACACGCTTGAGAGTCAGCCATCTCGTTCTCGGGTGGACAGAGGTACTCAAGCCGTGCCTGGCAAGGGGTGACCCAACTGGGAAACATGACAGTTGTTGGAAATCTTATGTTATACATATAGTAACATATCGACCGAATGTATGTAGTGTATGTTTACATATAAACAGGCAGACAGATAGACTGACGCGTACCTTAACGAAAGCACATATACATTTATCCCAATCTACATCTACTATTTTCCATATATATATATATGTATATATATACATATATATATATATATATATATATATATATATATATATATATATATGTGTGTGTGTGTGTGTGTGTGTGTGTGTGTGTGTGTGTGTGTGTGTGTGTGTATCTCACACACACACACATATATGTGTCTTTATATACATATATATATATATATATATATATATATATATATATATATATATATATATATATATATACATATATATATACATATATATATATATATATATGCAATGCAATATATATATATATATATATATATATATATATATATATGTATACACACACACACACACACAAACACACACACACACACACACACACACACACACACACACACACACACACACACACACACACACACACACATACACACACACACACACACACACACACACACACACACACACACACACACACACACACACACACATATATATATATATATATATATATATATATATATATATATATATATATATATATGCATATACACTTTCTGTCGGGGACGAGTTAGTAAGGAACCAAGAGAAGAATGGAATATACATACACACACACACACATATATATATATATATATATATATATATATATATATATATATATATATATATATATATATATATATATATATATATATTGCATTCCTCTCTTGGTTCCTTACTAACTCGTCCCCGACAGAAAGTGCGGCCGAAGACCCGCGGGTCGGGGCGCGAAGTGGCACATTCCGCCTCAATGTTCCCGTGATGCTCCGCGCAATGACGAGGGACTGAGAAATGTTCTAGGGCCGAGACATTCCTACGGGTGACAAGATAAAGTGGGGAGGCAGGGAGGGGAGGGAGAGAGACAGAGAAGGAGAGACAGTGAGAGAGAGAGAGAAGGAGAGACGGTGGGAGAGGGAGGGAGAGAGACAGAGAAGGGGAGACAGTGGGAAAGGGAGGGAGAGAGACAGAGAAGGGGAGACGGAGAGAGAGACAGTGAGAGAGGGAGAGAGAGAGAGAAGGAGAGACTATGAGAGAGGGAGGGAGAGAGACAGAGAAGGAAATACAGTAAGAAAGAGAGAGAGAAGGAGAGGCGATGAGAGAGGGAGGGAGAGAGACAGTGAGAGAGGGAGGGAGAGAGAGAAAGAGAGATGGTGAGAGAGGGAGGGAGAGAAACAGAGAAGGTGAGACGGTGAGAGAGGGAGCGAGAGACAAAAAAGGAGAGACAGTGAGAGAGGGAGGGAGAGAGAGAAGGAGAGACGGTAAAAGAGGGAGGGAGAGAAATAGAGAAGGAGAGACGGTAAGAGAGGGGGAGACAGAGACAGAGAAGGAGAGACAGTGAGAACGAGAGAGAAGGTGAGAGAGGAAGGGAGAGAGACAGAGAAGGAGAGACAGTGAAAGAAGAAGGGAGGGGAGGAATGAGAGAGACAGAAAAGGAGAGGCAGTGAGAGAGAGAGGGAGGGAGAAGGGAGAGAGACAGAAAATTAGAGAAAGTGAGAAAGGGAGGGAGGGAAGGAGGGAAACAGACAGAGAATGAGAGACAGTGAGAGAGGGAGGGAAAGAAGGAAAGAGGAAGGGTATAAAGTAAGGAGGGAAGGATAGCTGGCTAGCTAGATAGATAGATAGATAGACAGATAGAGAGAGAGAGAGGGGGATGGGGGCAGAGACATATAAAGAGAAGAGGGCCGAGAAG